CGGATCCCCGCTTCGCCACCGAAGATGTAGGCACCTGTTGTAAAGCACCGGGACTCCTGGCAGCGCGAGTAGGAGTGACTGCTATCCACCATGTGTTTGCGTGGCTTCGCATCGACTGGTAGAAGAAGGCATAGCTGCTGTAATTGACTAAAGGTCACGAACCCTGTATGCAGACAGGTGTATGCCAGCTGGTTGGCTCGCTCCCCCATGTCAGTGAAAGCATCTGTCAGCGTGCGCACAAGATCAAACTCAATCGCAAACCCGTCAGAGCAGCAAGAACAATCGGTGGCCATAGATGATTGACTGGAGCTGCTGTGCAAAGAAGAGTCAATGATGGTGGCATCGTCATCCGGCATGTCGTCGTCCGGGCGAGGGTCATAATAATACATCTCAGGCGTAAGTGCAGTCTCAAACCACGGGGCAGGAAGTCGCAACACCTGCAAGGTCACATCCGAGTCTTCACAGCCTGTAGCCATGGAACATCGTCACCAGGGATGTGGCCGAAATTTCGTGAAACTGTGATTCGAGAATAATTGGGGCGATCAGGCACAAGAACTCTATATAAGCACGAAAGCATAAAGAGCGACAGTGTCAACGCAAGGCACAGCTTGTCACTGAACATGCGTAACAATGGTATGCGAGCTGTACAGATGTTTTGCATCCAGTCGCCAGAAACTGTATGTGTGTATAAACAAAGAGAATACCCCTCGAGCTGCTCCCCGCCACTGCAACACTGTACAAGTTGCAGCCTAATGGAGCAGTGCCCCGCCCCTGATCATCACTCTTCTCCCCCAGGATCCAACCTCCTGCAGAAGAACATGTAGACATCCGCCGATGTGTGTATACGACTCCGCGGCTTAGGCTGCTGCTGTGGTTGTATTCCGTCATCACTGTGAAAATCCGCATCTGAAGCATGCATGAGCAGGGTATAATGCCCGTGGCGTAAGGATGCGCCGTGGTGTAGGAGTACGGCCTGCACTGTGTACTCATGAACCTCCGTGGTCTGCCCCTGGCCATCGAAAACCGGTATGTACAGTCGCTCTGACCATGTGATCACATCGCTGCGCCTGACTGTGTGGCCATCCACCGTCGCATACCTGGCTAGTCTGAAGAGAAGCAGTGATCCTGCATTTGTCAGCGCATGAACATGTGCTTGCGCATGCCAGTGATGCAGCAGCGATTGCATGGCATGGGACCCGACCTCCCCGGGTAAATCCAGCGTGATTGCTTCCACGCAATCGCCCCTGTCCACAACCTGGCAGTGCTCGTCTGTGGTGGTCCGAGCTTCCCACTGGCATGTGAGTCGTGTGGCACCTAGCTTACACAGCAGAAAAGACAGGAACTCTGACGCATCGTGTTGCATATGTGGGTGCCCCCAGTCGTGTAGCAGCAGCCTCCATATAGGAATGCCAATGATCAAGAGGGACCGCTGCTGATGGTTCAGGATGAGGCTAAGTGCTTCTTTGCCGGTCCTCGTGAAGACTGTCGCCCACTGCCCGAGCGAGACAAGCGACCAGAGTAGACCTCGAACCGCAGTGTTGATGTAGCAATAGTTGCTAGGATTCCGTAAAACCAGGGTTCGGACTAGGCCACGAGCTCCAGCAACCTCTGCGCTCCCGGCGAGCGCTTGAAGCCTTCCTTGCGATACTGAACTCCGCACACCTGTAGCGCCGCACTTCCCTGAAGTTTCTCCAGTTTGCTGTATAACGCATTCGCTGAGGCTTTGCGGAACGATATGTCCATAACCATGGTGAGCATGTGCCCCGACATCTGTTCCACTAGTGGCCTCGTTGAGTGAAAGCGCGATACTGTGTCGCCGCTCACCAAGCCCTTCATGTCGTTCAGTAGATGGACGACTTCCTGAGTGGTCATGCCCGGCTTTGTTTCGTCCACAATGAGCTGCTGATTTTCTGCCGACCATGTTTGGTAGACCCATCTGCCCTCCGCCGTGAGCCAGCCTTGTTTGTTCGCCTCCGCCAGTTTCGTCTGGTCCATGCTCCCCAGTGTCGCTGCCAGCTGGTGCAGCAGACACCAGAAGAGCGCCGATCGGAGACTGGTGTTGGCCATCTTGCTGTCGGGTTGGGACACCTCCTTCCGCCACACCTGCGCCGCCTGGAAAAGATCCGGTACTATGGTTGGTGTGGAGATGCTTAGCCACCACACCCACCCGGTCGACTGCCTGAGGACGTGCAGGACATCCTCCTGTCTCACCATCATTCTGGCCATCAGTTGGATGGCGTCCACGAGCCAGTCCATGTCCCCGCTGTAGCCACTGTTCCAGCTGCTGGGCTGGGGCTGTGGCTTTCGGAACTGCTTTCCCCCTCCTTTGCCCTTTCCTTTGCCTTTGGGTCCCTTGTTGGCCGGTTTGTTCTGCTTGCTCGGTCTGTCCTGTTCCTTCGGCTCCTCCTGCAGCAACCGCTTCCCCAACACCGGACCGAACACTTCCTGGAACTGCATGTCCGCCGTGGCCAACTCCTCCGTCATGATGGTAGGGCAATGTGGCTCCAGCGTCGTGTGTTTGTCGATGCCGGTTTACACAGTACAACGCATTCTGTAGGAGTTCAGAGCAGCTGTTGGCATGTTTGACTTTCTTGCCGTAGCCACCTAGACAGAATTGACATTTACTGCCCAGACCACTTGTCCACTGACTACACAGCTGTTTGACCCGTGGCCCCAACATGCTCCAGGACTCAGCATGCACCGTCTCAAAGTGTTTCTGCAAAGACCGTGATGTACATGTAAGCCCACACAACTGACAAGCTCCGTGCCATCTTTTGATTTCTGCCTCTGCAGGAAAAGGAATGTCAGGCGCACTGGCTTGGCTGGGTACATTGTGCTCGTTGCTCACGTGGATGGACCTGATCATGGAGAGCTGAAACAAGACTGGACATGTATCCCTGTGCTCCGCTTTGCTCGGGACCTGCGCTCCACACCACTCACACATCACCTTGATTTTGTCGATATGCTGCCTGCGCCACTGAAATGTAGGAGCTGAATGTGTCTCCCATTCTTCTGTGTGTGAGCGCTGCCAATGTCTCTTAAGATACTTGTGGTCGTGGTGCCACTGCCTGCAAAGCGCGCAATGCTGCATGAGCTCCGTTCGCAGATCAGCCGTGACGTCCTCCACTCGCAAGTTTTGCACATCGATCTGCCCTGCCCTGACCATTTGCATGACCGAGTCTTTATCTGTGCCCGATGCTGGCTCCGTCGCCATGGTGGATGCTGCCTGACAGTGGCCGCCCTCAATGTGTTTGCGCAGGTCTGCCCACCGTGGGAAGCGATGATTGCATTGCGAGCAAATGGGCATTCCGTCCTTCCCGTGCCGCTGCTGGTCAAAGTCGGGTGTTTGCTCTTTGGCCTCCTGTCGTCGGGCCTGACTGTGAAGCTTGCCCGCGTGTGCACGCAGCGCAGCCCAGGTGCCAAACTTAGCGCCGCACTCCTGACACACATGTGTCAGACTGTCTTCCGCGTCGCCTGCGGTCTTTTGGGCCTCGGTCAATATCTCCCGGGTCCGAGCAAGAACGGCCTGTTCGTGATCAAGGATGATACTGGATATCCTGGCATCATCTTCCCTCAGTTTGGCCTTCAAGGTGGTGGTGACGGTGACGGCTCGTTCGAGCCGTTGCAGGATCATGTCCACTGGCGCAATGATGCCTATCCGCCGCCAGAACTTATCATTGTTCTCTAGGTCCAAGTGAACTGGGCTGCGAGCAATGGCGCGGGCTTGCCGCGTGAGCACAACCCGAAACTGATCCAGCGTCTTTGCACTAAAACCCGAGGCCAGAAGTGAGTACATAGCTGAGGTCACCACTGTTGCTTTCCACAGTTGGAGTCGTCGGTGCATGTTGAGGGCCCTGTGCGCCATGAGCGTGGTACGTAACCGGCTGAAAGCTGCACGGCATGCCTGAAGTCGATGCTGCATGTTCTGTGACTCGAAGTTCTCGTAGGAGATGCAGGCCCCTAGATAGATATGCGACTTCTTGAGCGGCATTTCCCAGTTCATGTCGAGTTTGAGCAGCTTGCCTTGTTTGGTCTTGCGTACCACCTTCTTGATTGCATTCGGTGCCTGGACCCCATCTGCTCTAAGCAGGCAAACGGTTTTCTCCTTGCTGATTATGAGTCCGCAGGCAGTAAGGAGTTGCAAGACGGTGCCCGCCTGTTTGAGTGCCAGCTGCATGCCAGCCACGTCCTCAAACCTCCACCTGAAGTGCAAGTCGTCCGCGAATCCTACTCCGTGCTGTTGGCACCAATTCAATCCCAAGGTGTTGTCCAAGTGTCTAAGCAAGTATACCGAGATGCAGACCCAGAGAGTCGGCGAGAGCTTGCACCCCTGCCTAATGCCCTTGTCGGAGCCATATTGTACTTCATCTGGATGTCCGCCTATGTGGAACTTGGTTGAATGGACCCACTGCATGATGATGCCGATTAAATCGGCGGGAACCTCCATCATCTCCAGTGCTCGCTGCAGTAGGTCGCGGCTGATTCTGTCGAATGCTTGGGTACAATCTATGCTGAGCTGTAGACCACCGGCGCATGAGCCTCGCTTGTGTCCTGCTCGTAGATCGTATAGCGAGCGACCTTGTGCCTGCGCAGCCGCCCTAACGTCGCGACAGTGTGCGAAGACCACACAGAGAGCCTGAAGAGGAGAACGGTGTGGGAGATAGCCATGCAGGTGCTGCGGTGCAGTCCAGGGTTGTACAAACGGCATCAAACGATCCTTCAAGATGCCGGCAACCGCTTTGCCCATGGGCTCGAGCAGTGCTATGGGCCTGAGATGCGCGGGTGAATCCCCGATTTTGCCCGCTTTTCCTAGGAACACCAGCCATGCCGAAGCCCAGTCCTGAGGGACACGAGCGCCGCCCTGCTGCCAATCATGGAACACCTGCTCGCTCATGAACGTTGCAATGTGCTCCGAAGCCATACTCCAGAACACGTGTGGAGCACAATGTTTGGGAGCTGCTTTGTTACCCTGCAACCGCTGAAGAGCATCTCTGAGCTCCTCACTCCTCGCATGTGATATGGAACGTGTAGCTGGTGGGCTCGTCTCCACTGGGCCTGGTTCCACCATTGACACTTTGCCAAAAGGTGAGCAGTACCTGTGCTTCTTCTGCTGGAGTCATGAGCTTGCCACTCACATCTCGCAGTTGTGCACGCCGACGGGCTTGCTTCGGTGCATGCCTACGCAATAAGTCGAAGATCGCCGAACTGCAACCCGAGCGTTCATGGGCCTGCGCCTCAGCCAGGAGCCTTTCGAACCGCTGCCGTCGCAAACTACGACTGTGTTTCTGTACCTGCCGATGCATGCGATGGAACTGCATCCAATGTCGCCAAGCCTGAATGGCTCCTCGCAGCGTAGCCCGCCCACTGCCGGAGCGATCCAGCTGAGCTTTGCGCATCTCCCTGTAGTGTCCCCACATGGTTTTGATGGTAACGACATGTTCTGGGTCCTCAGCTGGAGCAGGTAAGCTCGGGGGCCTCCGGATCGTGAAGACCTTTTTGCCGGCCTCAAGCAGCAGGTCATTCAGCTGCTGGGGCTCGTAAGAGGTGACAGCCGTTAGGGATTCCGCAACCTGCTGCTGAAACTGCTCCACAAGTTCGGGATGCTCCTTGACCTGTTGAGCGAGTAGTTTGCATTTCCAGCTCGGCCATTCTGCGCAGGGGGTTCTGGGACTACTGGAGTAGTAAGGTCGATGCGTGAAGACCACATGGACAGGTAGATGCCGTCCTCCTGCTCGCCAGCGTCCCACCTCAAAATCGCTGATGATTTTGGAAGTGATGGAGCGGTGCTTGTGTCTTCGGAGCATCACATAGTCAATGAATGAGCGCCGTGCTTTCGCGAATCCCTCATGTATGTATGTGTACGACCCGGACCTGTGAAAAGTGTTGGCAGCAATGCAATCAAAATCATTCTGAATGTGTTCCAGAGCCTCTGCATCTGACGAACTCTGCTGCTGCCTCGGAAGACCTCGACCCACATATGGAGCTCGGTGCTGAAGCGCTGTATTGAAATCACCACAAACGATAAGTGCACTGCTCTGAGGGATCTGGCCCAACGTCAGCCTCATCTTCTCCCAGAGTGTAGCCCTCTTGGCCTCTATGGTGGTCTGTTCGCCGTGCAGTCCCCACGCATGCTGGTAGACGTTGACTATCTCCACCCAGCCTATGCCCTTGCCGTAGGCTTTCACGTGCAAGAGTCGCCCTGCCACCACATAATTGAAGCGAATGCTCTGCTGATCAAATCGGCTAGCCCTCAATAAAACCATCACTCCTGCTTGCCCCCGCTTTGCGCTCTCACCGACGCCGCAGTTGATACAATGCCAGCCCCTGGTGCTGTAGTCCATGTGACTCTTAAACCATGTCTCTTGTAGGCATACTATCTGGTAATCGGTGGAAGCAAGCCAAGTGAACAGCTCATCCTGCAGTGTACTGAGTCCCCCGCAATTCCATGAAAGCAAGGAGAGCGAGGCCTCCGATCGCGTCAATGACCCTGTGTACCTGTGACGCTGACGGCAAGTTTGCTGTGCTTTGTTGGTGTACATGCCCGTGAGGTCGCCTTCGTCGACCGCTGTGCCTTTGTACTGCGTGTATCCCCATCTCCTCGCCCGAAGAATCGCTCGCTTGTAGGAGCGCTTTCTAGGCTGTGTGAACCCTGAAGGACTGCCTCGATCGTCGATTTTCGCGGGTGCAAGAAGCTTTTGAAGATCCATATCCATCCCGCTCTCAGGGCCCTGACGAAGGAAACCCCAACCCTCGCTTCTACTGCGATCCAGAAGTTGAGCAAGAAGCCTGAACTCTTCTGGGACCCCAGCCTCCGGACTTGGGACCGGAGCGGCCATCACCATGTTCTCATAAGGTGCTGTTGCTGCACTGCATGCGTTCTCCGGAAAATCCATGTGGCAAATACGAATACTGTGTGAAGAAAAGCTGTGAAATGAAAACACCAAGCCAAGCAAAGTAATGAAAAGCATGCGTAGTCGCGCTGACTGAAGGTGCAGCGTGGGCTCAGGAAACAGTCGGCAACGAGTGCTGCAGTCCATGCGTGTCCCTACGAAAGGCTACAGCTACCCCGCCCCGCTACCCACCACTCACAGCAATCGGCCCAAGAGTTTTTGTTTCTTACTGTAAGAGGGCTCCTGCTTGCACAAACGCACGCAAGTGTTGAAAGAGCCAACTCCTGTCGCCTCGAAGTTTTTTTGACGAACCTTTTGTACTCTGTGTTCTAGTGTAGTGGGAACCGTGCACTTGTCGCTAGGGCATACGTGCCGGACTTGTTGAGCACTGTCTAACAGTGCTAGGGGCCAAGCGTCCACAGAGACGCCAGGTTGCGAAAACCTGTAGTGCCTGAGCTAGGCGACCTTCGAGGACGCTGCTGGTGAAAAAAAAAAATGCCGTCAATCAAGCTTGGGCAGTAATGGAGAGGATAGGTTTGCGTGCGCTTGATGAAATCACTTGGGCATGTATGGCTTTGATGAGGGCCAGCTTGGGGCGACGCGAGGTTTTCTTCCGGAAGTCCGACGGCTCCGTCTTGTCGGGGCCTTTGCATTCGTATTGGCACCAAGACGCTCGCCGCTGCTCGCCGGTCTTGAAGACTACGGATCTGCGCTCAGCTTATAAACAGTTCGCTATACGGCCGGAACACCATCGGATGTGCGTGGTGACCTTGAAGGATCCGGCGGACGGCTCAACAAAGGGGTTCGTCTGCCGCGTGTTGCCGTTCGGGGCCCTGGCCTCGGTCGGTCAGTTCAACAGGTTTTCGAGGCTGTGGCAAAGGATTCTCTGGGAGCTGAAGCTCGCTGCGGCGAGCTACTTCGACGATTTTCCGTCGGTGGAGGCCAGGGCCCTTGCCGAAAACCATGACTCCTCCGTGAAGGCAGCGTTGCGCCTTTTTGGAGTTGACTGGGCGAGTGACAAGGACCTTCCCTTCTCGCCGACGGCCGATGTCTTGGGCGTCCGACTGGATGCGACGGATATGGAGGGAGGAGTGCTGAGGGTCAAAAACAAGCCAGAAAGATCCAAGGAAATTGCCTCTTCGATCGATAAGATCCTTGCGGATGGCTGTATTGATCCGAAGCAGATCCCCTCTTTGTTTGGCCGGATACAGTTTTCGGAAAGTCAGTTGATGGGCCGACAGGGGCGCCTGGCTTTGGCTCAGATTCGCTGGCTTTCGAGTGCTCGTCACCGTCACGTTCTATCTTCTCTGGACGCCACTGTCTTCAGAAGCTTGAGGGAGAGGATGCTTGAGGGCAGGCCGCGCGAGATCCAGGTTCTTCCCATTGGCGGCCAGACTCTTGTTTTCACTGACGGTGCATGCGACAAGCTGGGGGACAAGTTTAGCTGCTCAATCGGAGGTGTCATGTATCGGGTGCTTCCAACTGGTTTTCGCGAGACGAGGGCGTTCGGGTGCTACCTGGACGAATCGGTCGTCGAGCAATGGGCGGGACTGGGCAAGAGACACCTGATAGGTCCTACCGAGCTTTTCGCGGTGGTGGCGGCCCGACATGTCTGGAAAGATTTCCTGAATGATCAGAGGGTCGTCTTTTACGTGGACCACAGTGGTGTTTTGTCTGCGATGATCAAAGGGTCTTCCCGCGATGATCTCTGGAGGAGCATCTTGCTTCACTACGAGTGTGCCGACTCGCTGGGGCCAGCGATCTCGTGGTTCGCTCGGGTCCCGAGCAAGTCGAACCCCGGCGATGGGCCTTCGCGGTCCGACTGGAGATTCCCTGTTTTCGGCGAGTACTTCGAAGATCGGATTGTGTTTTTCATAAGCGGCAGAGTTCTCAAAGCCTCGGGGCAAAGAGTGCAGGGGTGAAAGATGCCCCATAACTTTTCAACGAGCCCGGAGGGGCTGTTGGCGAAGTGCCAACATGTGTTGGGATCCCGAGGGGGATCCGGAGCATGCACTTCTTTCCCCGAGAGGCTTTGCCAAACCGAAAGAAAAGAACCTGTTGAGCGTAGTTTGTCCGAGTGCTGCTTTTTCTATGAGACTCGTAAGCTCTCTAACAGGCCTCATTTCCACTTTATATATATGCGATTGAAGGACATATTCGAGTGGACTTAAAGAAAGGCCCGCATAATACATGAAGCCACATTGGTTATAAGCCGTTTTTGGGACGCTAAAAATCACAAACTAGTCCCATAAGGCTTTATAACCTTTTCGGTAGGTTTCGAAAGTTTTGAAGAAGTTTTTCGAAACCGCTTCATGTGTCATGAGATTCCATTTGAACTTTTATGAATCTTTGTTGTTCCGCGCATGCTCAAACATAGGGTGGGTGGGCGGGAACCTTCCGTGCAGCAAAGTTTGTACCCACCACTCCCATAACTTTTCAACGAGCCCGGAGGGGCTGTTGGCGAAGTGCCAACATGTGTTGGGATCCCGAGGGGGATCCGGAGCATGCACTTCTTTCCCCTGGGTGAAAGATGCCCCATAACTTTTCAACGAGCCCGGAGGGGCTGTTGGTGAAGTGCCAACATGTGTTGGGATCCCGAGGGGGATCCGGAGCATGCACTTCTTTCCCCGAGAGGCTTTGCCAAACCGAAAGAAAAGAACCTGTTGAGCGTAGTTTGTCCGAGTGCTGCTTTTTCTATGAGACTCGTAAGCTCTCTAACAGGCCTCATTTCCACTTTATATATATGCGATTGAAGGACATATTCGAGTGGACTTAAAGAAAGGCCCGCATGATACATGAAGCCACATTGGTTATAATGCTTCTGTGTATGCTGATGGAACTAGAAGGCCGCTTGACGAAGATGCTTGCACACGAGCAGACCAAGGACAACATGATCAAGCATGGTTGGCTCACCACTCTCCTCGGGCAGCCGGCTTGGCCTTACATGATTTGGACGGGGGAGAAGCTGGAGCTCGACTCCACCAAGGCGGCGATCCCTCACAGCGAGATGACGGAGATCATAAAGGAGATCAAGAAGGCGCTCTTCGACAAGTCCGAGGAACTGGTGCACAAGTTCCACAGTGTGCGCCCGTTGGCGGAGCAGATGGAGGGCGACACATTGCCTTTTCTCTTATCAATCAGCACGAGAGGGGCTCTAGCGGATCGGACGTTCGAGCTTTTTCGCAAGCTGGAGGGCAACACGGTTCTGAGGGTCGTGGGCGCTCGCCTTCGGGGCGAACGCCTCAAGCGGCAGCCCCTGGTACATCAACTGGTGGAGGCCATGGCGCAGCTGCAAGTGAGTTCGTGACCAAGACGCAGAGGCAGGTCCTTGGAGTGCGGTTGCAGAACAATCACAACGTGTGTTACATCAACTCGCTGGCTTTGCTGTGGGCGTGGGCTTCATCGTTCAGCAATAATCTTGAGTACTTTGCAGGTGCGGCGACCCCGGCTCTACGAGCCATTCTTACGAGCAAGGGGACGCTCAATCTTCTTGAGCTACTGCCTTGGCAATGCTTTTATCGCGGATGGCCCAATCTGCGACTTCAGCATGATGTGCAAGAATGGTGTACTCATTTATTTACTCAGGTGATGCCTCGATTTTTGAGTGGATCATGGCATGCGAAACTTCTTAGTCTGGAGCTCAGAGACAGTGCCCACACGTATTCACCTGTTTGGATGACATTACCCTCACATTTACAGGAGTGTACTTTGCAAACAGTGGTGGATCAGTGGAGTGCTCAGGATGCTATACATGCATTGTGCGAACCCCCGGAGGTATTGTGTGTATGCCTCGCAAGGTTCGGCTACAATGGTGATGAGGCCTTCAAGCACACCATGTCGGTGAGTTTGCAAAGCTTGTCCATCATGATTCCCTGCTTTCTGAATGAGAACAGTTTGGAAACCCGTAGTTGTTCATACACGGTTATTGGTGCTATTTCACATTATGGTCAGACCGTCAATTCTGGACACTACAGGGCCATGCTTTACAGTGCATCGGAGTCATGTTGGTACATCACTGATGACGGCTCTCGGGCCAAAAGGGCCAAACACAGCGATATGCAACACCTTTTCAGAAATGCTTACTTGATTTGGCTGAGAGTTGAGGGCTGATGCAGTTTACGGCTCACGGGCAAGCACGGGTGTACAATCCTCGCTGGACGCAGGAGGTTGTGCATGCTGTCGGGGATGTGGCTCGCCACTCCTACGGGCACCCATGCTCTCTGCCGCATGTCGCGCCGGACGCGGTGCGCATGCTGAGTGACGGAGCTGCTAGGGTAGGGTCTTGGGTTGACTGTAACAACAAGCTCAGTCTTCCCTGTAGGGGTACGTACACTCGTACAGTTGCTTTCGTACAGCTCTTTCGTACAGTTTTCTTGCATTTGATTTCGGACTGAAGTCGTGAAATCAGTGCTCGCTTAGTGCTTCGGCACGGGGCGCTTTTTTGTGCTCGCTAGGTGCTACGGCACGGGGCGGAAAGCTTGCAGCCTAGAGCTGCCGTGTGACACACGTAGGCTTACGCCAGGCGACCTTTAGGAGGCTGCGCAGTCAAAAGTGGCATTAACGCAGCTTTTCATTCCCTTGATCGTCTGCGTTTGCACGACGTCGATTTCTTCATCACCTTGTGCCGCTTCATCTGTAATGCTGTGAACGAAAAGGGTGTTGTCTCGGTTCTCCTCCGGAGCGGAGAACGGCTCCAGGGGAGGATCAGCCCTGATTTCGGTCGCGATTGCACCTGGGTAGGCCGTTGCCTTGACTTGGAGAAAGCTTACAAGCAAGTGCCTTTGTCAGCGGAAAGCCTCCGGTTTGCGGTGCTTCTTGTGCGCGATCCGCTGACAAACGCACACAACTTCTTCATAAGCAACTCCCTGCCCTTCGGGGCATGTGCAGCGGTTTACAGCTTCAACCGAATCAGCCACAGTCTACTCCACCTAGCGACCACCCTCCTTGGTGTGGTCGGTGGGGTTTTCTACGATGATTTTCCGTTGATAGAACCGTCCTTGACGGCCAAGCTATGCACCATATCGATCGAAGCGTTACTCGACTGTCTCGGGTGGCGCTACAGTCGCGACGTCGAAAAAGACAAGCCGTTCTCGAACCAGTTTAACTTGTTGGGAATCCAGCTCTCGCTTGAGTCGCTTCATGTGGGCCGCATTGCTTTGGAAAACAAGCCCTCGAGAGTCGCCAAGTTTCTGCGAGTTGCGCAGCAGATGTGTGTGAGTGGCGAAATCTCTCGCGCCGATGCCATGTCGTTGCAAGGGCAGCTTAACTTCATGGTTGGTTTTGCGCCGGGTAGGTCGCTTAAGCTTGTGTGCCGTGCCTTGTCTAACTTCGTTTACGCAAACCGCACTTGGACACAAGACGAAGTCAAGGCGCTGGGGGCTTACCTCAAAAGATGCCTTGAGGACCTTACGCCAAAGACAATGTGCTTGAGTGGAGATTCGCGGCCCCTCGTGATTTTCACCGACGCTGCCTACGAGAAAGGGGTTGCGACTTGGGGTTTAGTGGTTCTTGATCCTGCTTCAGGGCGGCGTGAACTTGCAGGAGGCCAATTTCAAATCCCCTCTTCCTTGATTGAGCTGTGGCAGCTGTGGCATCATGACACCGAAGATCAGATAATTGCACAGGCTGAGGCTTTCGCGATGGTGATTGGTGATTGCGAGAGATTACGTAGCATCTTTCGCCAAGGGCCGTCGGGCTTTCTTCTTCGTCGATAATGAGTCTGCTAGATATTGCATGATCCGCGGTAGCAGTCCAGTGAGAGCGCTGCAGGCACTGGCTCACGCCTTTTATGCAAGCGAGTGCAGAGACAGACTTGTTACTTGGATAGAACGCGTGCCATCAGCTTCCAACATAGCTGACCTGCCTAGCCGTGGCGAGTGCATGGCCGCAGCAATGATGGTAGGAGGTCGTGTCATCAACATTGACGGCATTGTGAGGATCGTCGCTCAAAGGTGCCTAGACGTGGGTGCTCTACCTTGGAGCCTTCTTACTTGCCACTTCAAGGGCCCAGTTCCTGCCTTTCACCTTTCTTGAGCTTCGGACGTTGCGAGGAGGCAAACGGGTCCTGTGGAGCCCTTGAGCTGTGGCTCGTTGCGAAAGGGCATTGTGTGCGACGGACGTTAGCGGTTTGCATGCTTTTGATCTCCCCTGTTCCGTCGCTCACGCAAAATGAAGAGAGTGCGAGTGCATTGCAGAACTTTGCAATATTATGACATTATGATTGACCTTCGAATATTCGCAGATTGATTTATATGGAAGCATCCTATATGGATTGCAACGATATGGTTCGTTTCACTTCGCATGGGAATACACTGCGGATTATACTTCTGCGTGTATTTTACATATAAGACCACACATCGCAGTTTTGTAAATCACGAAGACGACTATTTCACGAATGTGATCATGTTGTCTTTGATTTATAGTCGCTAAACAGCGACGCAAAACTGCCGTAGAAAATTTTGTTTTCACGCTGAACATTTTACATGTTGTGAGGCGCAGACCTTCTTTTCTCACGTCGAGCCTTTCATGCTGTGAGAATTCTTTGCATCTTATCCTTTGCAGAACACTTGACAATGTTTTGCACCTGCAGTTGTGGCCCGGAGGACAGTCACAACCGAGAATCGAATTTTCCCACCCTCCCGCCCTGGGTGGGGCAAACGGGTCCTGTGGAGCCCTTGAGCTGTGGCTCGTTGCGAAAGGGCGTTGTGTGCCACGGACGTTAGCGGTTTGCATGCTTTTGATCTCCCCTGTTCCGTCGCTCACGCAAAATGAAGAGAGTGCGAGTGCATTGCAGAACTTTGCAATATTATGATTGACCTTCGAATATTCGCAGATTGATTTATATGGAAGCATCCTATATGGATTGCAACGATATGGTTCGTTTCACTTCGCATGGGAATACACTGCGGATTATACTTCTGCGTGTATTTTACATATAAGACCATACATCGCAGTTTTGTAAATCACGAAGACGGCTTGTTCGACAAATCGCAGGTTTGCACGGAGCCAAAGTTTTCACAGCTGGAAGTTTAGTGCCACAGAGATGAGCGGTTCTAGTCCGAGTCCTGATGCAATGTCCTGCTGAGAGTAAGCCGGCGCGGAGCTCAGATTTTCGGCTCTGGGCCACGGGGGGCCAATGAGTTCTTTGAGCCGTCGAAGGTCAAGAGGTTTAGGATTCAATGTTAAGAACGGTGGCTTTGCAGTTGAAGGGCAGAAGGCGGGCTTGCGGGTTTATCCGGCAACAGGCGCTTGTCCCCTTAACTACGATCTTGCGACATCCACAAGGAATGTAGCTCGTCTTTTGCAAGTCAGTATAACTACAACTGTTGCTCCGTTGCATGCTTCGGTTGTAGGCTCCAGCAAGACAAAGCCTAAGCCCAAAGAGCAAACAAGAGTGTGACACCTTGCAAAGCTTCACGGGCTGTAACCTTTATCTTCTGGAGTTTCGACCAGTGATATTGATATTGCATTAGAGTGCTAGAGCCAAGTCTAGGTGGCTTGGTGGCTTGGCACTATGTACTACGGATTCTGGTTCGAACTATTTCAACGCTTCAGCAAACCTCGAGAAGAACTTGATCATGGAACCCCATGTACTGGGGTTGCTCAGCTGAAGCCATAAAGTAAAACAGCCAAGACTTTCAACATCCAAATCCTTAAATTGTAAACCGACAACCCCGCACATTTGTGGATGCAACATTTTTTGCAACCGGAAGCACGACCACAGACGGCTGCAGAGAACGTCCGCCAGCTGCCAACGCTGGGTCTCACCATTCCCACATCACGAACATGGCTGTCGGATCGCGCATAGATGAAGCTTTGTTTTGTCTGGTGTGAACATGAGAGCATTTCTGCAGGCTGAGGATGACTGCAGCCTGCGGTTGGCAGAGGACCCGAGAGTTTTCTGTCGGTGGTGTGCAACATTCACAGACAGCTCGCTGACAGAAGGCTTTGGACCGTCGATGTTCATTCAGGCGGCAGGCTTTACTAAGTCACTAGGCGTTGCAACCTCGCATGTTTGGTTCTTCGTTGATGACGCTTCATGCACTGTGCCATCGGCCCAGTTCCCATCGACTTGCTAACAAGCGACAACTGCCTGCGCAATCCTCTCTAGTTTGCATCAACGATGGCTCTTCGGCTTGCCTTCGTACTTACCCTTATCGGCGCGGCCGGAGCTTTTCGTGCTGACGAACGGTCCCAGGCGGTCCTGGCCGCAAACTCTTCGCACAACAAGACCCAAAGCGGTGGGCCAGACCCTTCGCAGGTAACAAGCGTGATCTCACACTACATACAGACCGGACACTGCCCACCTGGACTGCCCGGCGGCAAGCTGGAGACGGGCCTCCTCCCAATTAATATGGAAGGCTCGGCGCTCAGTTGTTGAAGTTACTGATCTTCTGCTGCAGTGTTCGGCTGTGTTTTTTCAGTCCCAGATACCGCTAACCATGTGCCGTTGCAAATGAGGCTACGACTACGGCATCGGTTGCAACAGCGCAGGGCTCTGCACCTGCCCGCACTCTCCCTTCTTCGTATGTGCAACCTCCGGACGATTCGGTGGCCCGGAGGGTTTCGTGCTCAAAGGCATTGTCTCCACTTTTGGCTACTGCCGAGTGGCGGCGTGGGTCTGGGCTGCAGGGAGCGGTGTGGTGGTCTTGCTGTTGGGCGGCGTGGTGATGATTATGAGGAAGTGAAAGAGGCCAGAAAGAGGCCTGAGTGTGTGAGAAGTCAAGGCTCGGCTCGCGATTGAAGAAAAGCGGAGTGGCTGCAGCAATTTTGTGCTAATTTGCAGGGCACGTTGGCGTGTGGTTGCTTGTGAAAGCCGACGGCGATTGCCACGAGAACTGCAAGCAACACCAAAGCTGCTTTCCGAATTTGCAGGAGCCTTGGCTGCTCGTGCGTGAATCCGGGCTCTTTCGGCGAGGCTCGACGGCCACTTGGGCATCGCCTGCCTGGCACTTGGCCCGGCTTCACAAGTGACACTCACTGCCCCCCCAGACCCACAGGACAGTTAGAAAGCCTCTTCAAGTCTCCCAGATTCTCCTGGCGGCGAATCCGCAGACTGCACCGTATGCCGGGTGCAAGGCATCAAGAAAAACATAGCACGCAGCCACAGACGATGGTAGCCGAAAGGGCACAGAGCGGGAGTAGATTTCGTCTCTTCGAGCAGGATGTGTGTGTACAGGCAGGTAGGCTTCGTAGCCACGACATTGGCAATGGAGGATGCGCCTGCTGGACACGATGCCCACAAGTATGTAGCTAAAAGTGGCGAGCTGCGCGCAATTATCAAAAAGTCTTCTCCTTTGCTCCAGAGCAAAAAATTGCCGATTACTTCTTTCCAGATAAGCAAGGCGCAGGCAGGAAGTCTGGAAGAGGCTCTGCGAATATGCAGGCTATGCTATGTCCGCTTGAAGGATGGCGAGGATGGCATGTCGATGGACGACGTGAGAGATCTCAAGAAGCAGATGCTTGGACTGCCGATCCGGCCGACCAGGAAAAGGCCAGCTGCTCAAGCAGCTCGGGACGGAGATGCCGATTTGCATGAGGTCAAAGCAGAGCCGGTGAGACCACGGAAGGCAGTGACCCAAGCTGTCTTCAAACGGCCTTCCGAGGGGGAGGAAGTGCTCGCCAGGGCAGTTGTACAGGACTTGGCAGAGGGTGCCTGGCAAATTTTACGTTGTTTGGTTGTACATCATGGCATTGCTTCAAGTTGCCCCGTTCGGTTCCTGAATGAGCTCTGTGAGATGTTTCTGTTGACGTTGGTGCTTTCACTGTCACTTAGCGAGCAGGATTTCGATGAGGCTCGAGTCTCTCCTGACGAGATGGGCATCGACAGTGGCTTCAAAAGTCGTCTCGGCCTGCCTATGGACAGCCCTGTTCGCCCGGAGCTTCGTCCAAAGTACGAGTTCGTTATTGCCACAGGCGAGAGCTGCGATGGTGCCAGAAAGTTTTCCCACGCATTTCGCGATGCCAAGCCACTGCAGAGCTGGGGTCACGAGAGACACTGTGACTTGTGCAACCAAAAATGCAAAATCAATCTGTTTTTGCTGCGCTGCTTTGATCGAACTTCCAGGCCATTCCGTTTGCACAAGGCATTGATCTACGCTGGGCCGGAGTGCAGCAAAGCTTTGCTTCGAGAAAAGCGGAGGTTCCGGGCTGAGCCATGCCAGAAAGGGGGTTTAGTGACCTTTGACAGTGCATGCGTAGTCGGATTCGTTCAGGTTTTTCTTCTGGTTTGACTGCACAGAGATACCCAAGCACACAAAGTCTTTGCATTCTGTGACTCAGGTCGTATGCGCAGGACATGCGCGACTTGCAGCAAAAGTTGCGGGGCATCCTCACCAGGGAGACTTGGAGAGAGGAAGTGCAGTCCATCATCGACGGCGGCAAGTATTTGGACTTCGTGTTGAAAGCGCTGCAAGCAGCTGCTTGGCGAGACACATGATTACAACACCCTGAACATGAAGATTCTCATCACATAATTCTAGGGCAGATGATGTTGATGAAGAGGCACAAGATGATGGCAATGCTCCTGCTCCTGCTGCTGCTGATGTTGGCAGTTTCAGTACCATCGCTACTTCTACCCGCCACGCAGCCAGTACCACCGTTTCCGACACTACGACTCGTTCCTTTTTCAGGCTTTAGAGTTATGGATAATTCCTCACGATCTTCACTCCGTCTTGAGGTCTTGGGCATGGATAAACGTGACAAGCTGGCCAGTCGACAAGATGCAGGAAGACGCGATCCAATTTGTAGAAGATCAGATCCGGTGCTGACCCGTGCGACGAAGCCCTTGGCATTCGGTGCTCTGGAGTCTCGGTGGCTTTTCTTAAAAGCAGCATCCGGGGTTTGTTCCGTCGTAGAGTCGTAGAAGTTTCAATGCTCTGTTTGAGAGACTCTGCTTCGTTGCGTTTTGTGGAGTATAGGGGCCTCTCGTTGACAGGCAAAATGGATCATTCGAGGTTGGCAGTGTGGCAGTAAGATAAAAGCTCTGTCATGTGTGTCGACTCTCGCCGAAATCGGTTACGTCGAACTGTGCAAGCCTTGCTAAAGCTCAGCATTAAGCTATGACCCCATCTCTTGCACAGTTCGGCAACTCATGATGAAACCAGGTTGAAGCCGCAAGCCCTGAAAGTGCAGCGGTCCGGCTCTATGTGGACAGCCTTCGCGCGAGCCTTGAGGCAAGGGGGAAAGCTTACCCAGCTGGCTACGCGGATCAGGGCACTTTGCGGCCCCGCTCCACCAGAAGCAGATGAAGAGCAGAGGCTGAAGGACTTCCTGGCCAAGATCTCTTGCAACGCCCAGGTGTGGGATGCCGATGAAGCCAAAGACCGTTGCTTGTCGAACTGCACGGCTCCGATCGCCACTTTGCAGTTGTGCTGCATCTACGGCCAGTTCCACGGGGCCGGGGTGGGACTGACTGCAGCGGAGCTGACCGCGATCAAGACCCAGGTCCCGGAGCTTTTCGAAGAGGTTGTGAGGTCTCCTGAGTCCGATGATGCCCAGGCCCAGGTGCTTCCGGTTGAACCCGAGTCAGACACCGCGCACTCTGTGCACAGCAGTGACTCCGAGCAGCCGAGATCTCCGAAACCTGCGGAGCTTCGCAACCCCGAGGAGCTGGGCCCACCTGTGTCTGAGCTGAAGCGCCGTGCTGATGTGGCCGCTGCTCTTTTGGGGGAGGCCGTGCAGGCAAGTGCACCCCGGCTTGAACCCGCCCCGGCCCAAGCGAGAGCTGAGGCATCTGAGGCAAGCGCCGCACCAAGGCATGCTCTTGGCCCCCCGCACTCTCCCAGCCCTCAGCTGCAAAGGGCAAGTGGAGAGGCAACCGCAGCCGCCGAAGGTCCAAGCTCAGCGCCCAGCACGGCTCGAGGAGCTGCAGTGGGCCATGCACGCCAAGGGAGCTCGGTTGACAGGGACCGCAATAAGAGGAGGACCATGGAGGACACTGTCGACATCCCGACTTGCCGTCGCGGCCGTCTGCTGGGCACAAACGGCTCAAACGTGAAAGAGCTCCAGGACAGGTATGGCGTGACCATCACCACGCCAAAAGTTTATGACACCGACCCTTGGTCCAGGACGACCGTAACAGTCCGAGGCCATGACGAAAACGTCGATGCCGTTGTGGCTCTCATCCGACGCCGCCATCATCAGGAGAGTGTGATCTTCCCTTCAATTAAAAGCTTTCAGGATGAGATTGGAGAAACAAGCTTGAACGACCTGGCAAGGAGGCATGCTGTAAGGACAAAGTGGTACCCCGACAAGCTCCAAGTGGTGATCGTTGGTGAGCTCGCTGCCGCACGACGCGTGGCACAGCAGCTGCAGATCAAGCAAGAGAGCATTCAGATCTCGCCGAAATTCATGCGTGATTACGAGCGTGATCTGCATCCCAAGCTTAGAGCCTCACTCAAGAAGTCAACGTTTGATGCGTCTGATGGTGTCATCCGCTTTATGGGGAAGGCAGGGATCTTGAGTCTTGCAGTACCTCGTCTATGTTGTCGTCCACTCTTGAGAAAAGCTTACTGTATGTTTTCCTTAAGAACTGACAAAGGCCGAGGCTGTGGATGCTGCCCTGCAGAGAGTGATCGACTGGACACGAGCTCGTGAACCGGCGAAAGATAGAGACTTTGCGGAGATCCTTCGGTCCTTCGCTCCTCACGAACGTGGTGCTATCGGTGACTCTCGACCTTATGGAGTTAGGATGTAGACTCGTGGATGTCGACCGTTGTTTAGATTACTTCCATCGCAAAACTCTACAGGAGATGTGGGACCAGCTTTGAGTCGCTGCCCTATTCGGTTGAGCCGCAGGCTGTACACCCTTTTTTTGTTCTGGCAGTGAGCCCTTTCGTCGCGCTGGTTTGTACAGGTCACATGGCGATGAATGCTTGCGTTTTGTGGAGTTCAGCTGGCAGCTGGTGTGTCCAGAGTCCAGAGTACAAAGATCCGATTGTGTGGCACTCGCAGTCAGTTCACTTCATGTGATTTTGCAGTGAACACAAGTACTGAGATAAGTTCTTGCGGCGACAGGTGTGACTTTACTACACAAAAGCCGCCAAGCCTCGCAGCCATTTCGGCTCCAGAGAGAAGGATCCGCCAGACCCGCGGATCCCAACTCGTCGGGTGATGTTCCGACGCTTTGCTGACATTGGTCATGGGAGTGTCATGGGATGCCTCTAAAATGGTTGCACATTGGATCCCGGAGCCCTAAACTTGTTGGTACGTTGGGTTCCACTCAGCCGAGGTGCATGGGCTTTGGCATCATGCTTTTTCGCTGTCGTGGTCAGCGAGCCCACGTGTAGCACAGGGGACTGTGAAGACAGCAATATCCTGCAAGCTTGGAGCACGATGCCCCAGTTCTCTGTAAATGAGACAGAGGCAGCGAGTGTGGCGGCTTGTGGAAGTACCCCCGGGTGTCCCAAGCATGGATGTTGGTTCTTCCCCTTCACATTTGCGAAAGACTATGAGTGCGTTTATGTGGTGCGTTGGCCTTTGGCTCCAACCAAAGTGATGTATTGCCATGCCGGCAGGCTCTACGAGTGTGGTACCAAGCCAGAGGCGACTTGTCATGACTTCCAAGCCCCGGATCCGTGTGCTACAACAACTGGCACCACCACTACCGCCACCAGCACGACCACAACCACGAGCACGGCGACCACGGAGACGTTCATGCTGCAAACTTCATGGCCAGCCTCGGAGGCTGAAGCGGAGTACGTGTGCCTCACCACTTTCCGAGACCAGGAGCTGATCGGGAACAAATGCCTGGGTATCAAAGAGCAGGTCTTCACGTTTGAAGACGCTCAGCTGAAGACTCTGGATGACAAGTGCGTGACGGCAGTGAATTTTCCGGGACAGAATGAACTCAATCATACCCACCGCGACGAGACTTTTGCGATGGATGCCAATCTTCAGGACTGCACTGGTCTTGAGGAACAGCGTGTGGCTTTCCTCCCAGACGGCACTGTTCATCTGGAAAAGCAGGATGCTCTTTGCTTGGACTGGGATGTGGGTGGACTGTTTCGCAGCAACAACGTCTACTTCCACAGATGCACCAAACAGCAGAACCAAGTTTGGGCGAAGATACAACCGGCTGCGGCAGTTTTCGTGACTTCCTTCCCATCCTGGGGGGGCAATATGCACTGCTTGGCTTTCCAGGGCCAGGAAGCTCGGCAAGTTTAAGAATTTCATTCTCTTCTGCGAGCCTAAAGGAGTGTGCCCGCTTGGTAGCTTCAGATCCAAGGAGGTGAAAGCTGTTCCACAGGGGGCGGATTGCCCAAAGTGGCGGTGGGATGCTTCTGCCTTGGTGCTTGGAGACTCCTGTCTGACGATGTCCGAAGCTTGGCTACGGAAATGTCGGTTGGGGCCTCTTTGGTGCCAATGTCGGCGGGGTGGGTGTGCAAATATGCTCTGTGAGAGGCTCTTTCATGCATTTTTCTGTATGCATGTAAATACACACACACATACAAGCATACATACGTATACGTGTTATGATATAGGTACATAGGCATATACAAATGTCTGTGTAGATATACACTATAGACATATATATATATATGTATATAATATATATATATATATATGTATGTATGTATGTATGTATGTATGTATGTATGTATGTATGTCTGTATGTGTGTATGTATGTATGTATGTATGTATGTATGTATGTATGTATGTATGTGTAAGCACACATATACACTGCATATATATATATATATACATACACATCCACGTGTTTCTATACAGTTTGTACATCAGCTCGGATTCGAGGCTCCCGTCTGAGGCTGAAGTTCGGGTTCGAAGTGGCTTTCAGAGAGGTCCTGGCCCGAAGGCTCGGGGTTTGGGGCTTTATGACCTACAGTTTTAAGGTTCAGGGCTTTGGGGCTAAGGGGTTTGAGAGAACTCTTGGCTCAAAGGTTGGGGCTTTCGGGATGCTTTTGGGCATGAAGCATCTCCTTCTTCACTTACCGGCCTGTGTGTCAAAATGTGTCAAACTCGGTAGCTTTCGAACGAGACATTCTTTTGATTGTAATGTGCCGTCGTTCTCATGTCTCTGACATGCAGATGTTTGTGCATTTCTTGCGGTGTGCCATGAGGCATGGGATGGAGCGCCACCATTTGTCGCGTCCAGTTTTCACACGACTTGGTGTTGGGGATGTCTCGTGTAGGAGTGGCGCATGAAAGCTCGTATTTGCCGTCGTCAGCTTGGTTGCTGAGCCTAGGCCTTCCCTGAACTCCTGGATGCGAACGAGACAGTCAGGAACTTGGCCAAAGAAGATGCCACACTGCAGGATTGCGACGGCTCCGAAGCTCAGAAATTCATCTATAACTCCGATGGGACGATTCAACCGCTGGGGCAAGACCTTCGCTTAGACTGGGATGCGGCCGGCATCTTTATCAAAGACAATGTATACTTCTACACTTGCAATCTTCAAAACAACCAGGTTTGGGCACCCGTGGAAGATTCTTGAATGCATGTTGAGAACATGTCTCACTTTTTCCGAAGACAGCCAAAGCAAGAGAGCTCAATCTCGCGGGCAATGTTCCCCAGTGAGTGGAGCGAATCAGGAGTTCATTGAAGGAAAGGTAAAAAGTTGCGTGGAAAGCATTGAATCCAGGGCCGGTAAAGATGAGTGCTCCGGCACCAGTGGAAAGGGCGTTTCCTCAGAAGAGGATTGCTTGTTGATGCGACGATGGTTAGGATGCGAAGCTTGTTCGCGGTTTGATGAGGTCTATGTGACTATGCGCACAACTCTCTCCTGGCATGCGTGCAGTGACCAGTGCATAGCAGCAAGGACCCAGACAAGAATCATGATCTAGCATAGCCCGCACATGGGCTCGGGACCGCCTGAGAAGGATAGCACGGCCTCTTGCATCACGTCCTTCATCCAAACAGGGCGGGACACAGCTAATCCGTCTGAGGTCGCAGCCTGACTGGTGTGTGCCGCTGTCTGAGCTCATCAGCCGCCCAATGGTCGGTGAAACTTTTGTTGTGCTTGGGGGGGGTCGTCTTCGACCAAGACACATTCGATTATGACCGCACAAGGTTGGTCGACGAGTGTGTTGTGTATAGTATTTTGCATGTCGGACTTGTGCTGTACCGAAAGAGCTCAAACAATCACTCAAGTTTCCTTTTCAGTGTATCTCATCCAGTGACAAGTTGCATTGAACCTGCCACATGTTGGAAGAACGTGCCTGAAACTTGAAGTGTAGACGCCGGCCGAGATCATGCTCGGTACTGTAGTGCAAAGCCATGAGACAAGTCACCTTGTAGGGTTGAAACGGCGTCAACCAACCCCAAATCTCAAACCATCTCAGATAGGTCTTGTTGTCTCCGGCAGTGTAGTGGTGTAGCGAGATGAGATGGAGATGATGGAAACCCTGCGCCACAGGCACAGGGATGCAAGGCCACTGGCTCCTTTGAACAGTTGTTGGCGCTTGAATTCATTGGTGGCTGCATGAGCTGCAGTAGCAGCACTGGCAGCAGTGCAGCAGCGCCCAGAAGTAGAAGCAGAAGCGGGAGGGACAGCATTCGTAGCAGTGTAGCATCAGCCGTCGTAGTATGAGTAGTAGTAGTAGTAGTAGTAGTAGTAGTAGTAGTAGTAGTAGCCGCCACGGCTCAGACGTTTTGGAAGTTTCGCGCTGGCTTTTGAACAGGCTCTGGATTCCAACCTTGCGTTGCTACAGGTCTCAAACAGGCCTCTCTCCGAACGACTAAGGGTTGGTTCCTCACGCTGAGCCATGTGCCATGTGCCAACAGTTTGCGTCTGAGCCGCCAGGTCCCAATTCCTGGACCCAGTACCCTGTCTCAACACGGGCCCACTGGGCAGGCGGTAGGGTTTCCACTAGCCGCGTGGTGGAGGGAGTCACTCGGCTTGCCTTGTGACGAAATAGCGGATGGCGCTGCTCCCAGTGCACTCACAAAATTATTCTCAGATCAGGAAGAATTCTTTCAAGCATGTTTGCCGACAGGTGGCTGCAAGCCAGCAGCCTGTTTCTTACCGAGGTCAGGTTCTGACCCCAGCTCTTCTCAGGCGCATGGGCAACTGCCCACCGCAGCCGGGCTCCAAGCAGTCTTTTGCACCACGATCTCGGGCAGGACAGGCCACCAGGCCTCTCCGAGTACTGTCCTGGAATGCAGGCCATCTTGGCCAGCAACAATGGTCGGAAGTCAAATCATGGCTCTCCACTGAGGCACACCACACCTGTGATGTGTTCGTCCTGCAGGAGACCCACTGGCAGGCTACGGCCGAATTTAGTGTTGCAGGCTGGTACTGCATCTCGTCTGCTTCTGCTGCAGATCCGAAGGCCTCTAGACGAAAGCAACGCGGGGGCAAGGCCCATAAACAGTCACCTGCAGAGGCAATGCCTAATGACGATAAGATGACCCCACCCCGCAAGGAGCCCTCAACAACTCGCGCGGACGGGGTTATGGTTTTCCTGTCCCCACACATACTGCCCAAAAGTGTGCGCTGGCAGGAACATGTCATAGGCAGAGCCCTGGAGGTCAGGTTTGACTGGCACGGGGCCCGCATCAACCTGGTTGCTGTGTATCAACACGTCTGGTCACCGGCCAAGCAGGTACAGACCAATCGTCAGGACAGAGCACATGTCCTGAAGGCTCTTAGCAGATGCGTGCAACGCGTGCCGCACAGGGACACGCTTATCCTGGCAGGAGATTTCAATAGTTCCTTGCAAAAGCAGCCTAGGCTGGTTGGTCCAGAGATCATTAGCCCACAGGAACCGAGATCTGATGAGCCAGAGCTTACCAACTTTCTGCTTAATCATCGCTTGGTTGCCCTCAACACGTGGAGGCCTCAGCCGCCACATACGTTTCAGCAAGGGGATACGCGCACTCAAATTGACTTTGTGCTTACGAGGGAGGTCTCTGCTGGAGGAGCTGCCAAAAACTCTACGCCGCTGGCAGCTTTCCCGCTTGGAAGCTGGAAGAAAGGCGGGCACTTACCCATCAGTGCAGCTGTCAAACCAGTTCGGCACTGGAACCTGCCAGCCCCTCAGATACAGCAGCATCATTATGACACCGCTGCTCTGCAAGCGGCTGTCAGGGACAACACGCTGCCAGCTCAGCACATGCTCGAGTGGGTTACAGCACGACTCACTCCGGACATGCAGCCGGCGTCATGGGATCGCCTCCTTGGCGAAGCCGCATCCAGGTTTTTCCCTAAGACCCCAGTGGCAATGCCAGATAGTCCGGAGACGAGCCTTGCCAGACGCATGTGGCGCTCGGCGCGTGGGAGCAATGCTCACCCCAGTGCGGAGCCATCGCCGGAGGATGAAGCCCGGCAGAGGCTGTGTGATCAGCATAAACAGGCGGTTAAGCAGGCTCGCAAGGACCAGACCAAACGGTTTCTTGCTGAGGTTGATCAGGCTCTGAGCCAGGGCGATCAGCACCTGGCATATCAGACTCTTAAGCACCTCCGGCCGTGGAAACCGGCTTTGAAAGCTCAGCTTAAGGACGCGCACGGCTTCCTGCTCAGTCCTGCAAACGAACTGGATGAACTGGGGAAGTATGCAACTAAGGTCTTTGCGGCGCACCCACAGCTCCCGTCTGATTCGGGACTCCTGCCCCTATTGCCACAGACCAAGTTAGCAAAACATATTGCCTCGATCAAGCCTAGCAAGGCAGTTCCGAAAGGAGCGGCACCGGCCGCAGCCTGGAAGCTCTGTGCTCAGCCGATCTCTGCGGCGCTTTCACAATACTGTTCAAGCCTGACGCAGGACCAGTCACTGGACGACGATCTGACTCGCGCAGATCTCTGCTTAATCCCAAAACCGGGCAAGCCGGCTGACAAGCCTTCACAACTCAGGCCGCTGGGCATTCTTCGCCCGGATGCTAAAGGACTGGCGGGCACGGCCAAGGAGCTCCTGGAGCCTTTCACGCTGCCATACATGAAGCCTCTACCCCAGTTTGCATACCTCCCTGGGAGAGGTCTTTCGGATGCACAGAGCAGAGTGGTTCAGCATTTAAGGGAAGCAAGGCAGCTCTGTCGCAATGCGAATCTCACCCGAGCGGATCAGCAGCGGGGACAATGTCCTGTAGGTCTCGTCGGCGGCATCACTTTCGCACTAGACCTGTCACAGGCATTCGACACTGTGTCCCGAAGTGAGATCTTGTCCCTGCTAGATGAGCTGGGCGCGGATCCCCCGCTTAAGAAACTCATACACGGCCTTCATCATCGATCTAAATACAGACTTCATTCTCAGGGGGCCTACAAGGACGTGGAAACTACCACTGGCATCAAACAAGGCTGCAAGTTGGCCCCCACGCTGTTTTCCGTGCTCACAGGCCGCCTCCTTCATAGACTGATAGACGCATTTGGCTGGGACAATGTCCGCAGATACTTTACAGGTTACGCGGACGACTTCACCATGCATCGCACCATCCGCAGCCAAGCAGACGTGGACGCTGCTCACAAGATGATCCTACAGCTTCTGTCGGAGGTGACGAAACTGGGATTACGCGTCAACCCGGCCAAATGTGCCATGCTAGTCAAGCTTAACGGCAGAGAGGCGGAAGCCGTGCTTCAGAAGCACACCTGCTGGCTGCCCGACTCGACGGGCACACTACAGCGGCATTGGCGACTGGGCAAGCACAGATCCTTCCCTGCATACAAACTTGAGGCGCAAATCAAGTACCTGGGCATCCAAATTTCCTATGGGAACTTTGAAATGCAGACGCTGCGATTCCGCATAGCGGAGGCTGCCAAAAAGCTCCAGCAGGTCAAGCGATTCGTCTACAATCGCCGCACCGCGGGGCCAATGGCCAGGCTAAAGGTCTGGTTCACCACCGTTTGGGCCACCTTGGTCACGGGACTCCCCGAAGTCGGCCTCACGGAGGAGACGGCCAGGCATCTTAGAGGCTGGTATGCACACAAGATACGCTCGGTCCTCAATCAGCCTGCACACGTCGGCCACACACCTACAGCTGACCTGTACCGACTATATTCAATCCAAGACCCGGTAGCCAAAATCCAAACAAGGATGGCTTCTAGACTCAAGCGGTTGTGCAAGAGAACAGCCCCCTCCGAAGCCACCACTACAGCCCTGCCTGCACACACTCCCAGTGAACCCTCAGCGACGCGGGGCCCATGGGCCAGGCTGAGTCCACCAGCGACGGGCCTAGCAACACACCAGCAGCCGTCTGAACCACATACATACGGTGACGTCACGCAACTGAGCCACGTCGTACAGGACCTACAGGACATGCTGAGAGAGGTGGAAAACCTCCCGGCGAGCACCGAGGCCTCACAGCAGCGGCTACACGCCTGCCCTCACTGCGAGTCGGGTTTTGTCTCTGCACATGGCTTACACATGCACGTCACGCGAATGCATCGCGAGCACGTGCAAAGGTACATTCCCCCCTCCTTTGATCGCAGTCGGCACTCCAAGGATGGTCTACCTGTATGTTCTGCATGCGACAAGGCTTTCCATCAATGGAAAGGCCTACGTG